TTGGCTTCTGTATGTTGAATACCCACCAAACAAACAGAAAACATTGTCCCTTTATGTAAAAGTCGGCTCTAACATACTTTTTGATAGACTGTGCAAGTGTACGCAGATTAAAATGACTTGATTACAAGTATCTCTGGCACTTTAATTTGAAGACATCCAATTGCTGGTGTAGCAATTTTCCTGGAAATAAAACATTGGCTTCCCGAACAACACTGGATAAGGGGAGATTAAGACATGATCAAGACTGTCCAAAGCAAAGGGAACAGTGGGGCAGCGTAGCAGGCAAGTTAGCTGCTGCATAACACCCCAAAACTTGATGGTTTAGATCAGTCACCATTTATTATTTCTCCATGGGTCTGAGTGGGCTGGATGTGGGGGCTGTGGTCAGCCTGCCACTGTCTGGTCTCCGATGGCTTTGCTCCATGTGGCCTCTCATCCTCCAACAGACTAGCCTGGGCTTATTTTCATGGCAAAGCTAGGTCTCTAAAAAGTACAGTGGAGGCTGGGCGCGGTGGCTCACGCCTGTAATCCTAGCTCTCTGGGAGGCCGAGGCGGGCGGGTTGTTTGAGCTCAGGAGTTCGAAACCAGCCTGAGCAAGAGCGAGACCCCGTCTCTACTAAAAATAGAAAGAAATTAATTGGCCAACTAAAAATATATAGAAAAAATTAGCCGGGCATGGTGGCGCATGCCTGTAGTCCCAGCTACTCGGGAGGCTGAGGCAGAAGGATCGCTTGAGCCCAGGAGTTTGAGGTTGCTGTGAGCTAGGCTGATGCCACAGCACTCACTCTAGCCCTGGCAAAAGAGTGAGACTCTGTCTCAAAAAAAAAAAAAAAAAAAAAGAGTACAGTGGAAAGGCATAGAACACTTCCCAAGCCTCTGATTGCATCAAGTTTGCTCCTAGCCCATTGGCCAAAGCAAGTTATAGGTAAGGTCAAGCCCTGAGTCAGCCTAAAAGGGCTCAGATCCAGGGAAGGGTGAAAAACGGGGATAATTAAATCAGCCTACCACTTGCAGTTCCTCAGATATTGTTCCATACAACGTGAGTTGCTAAGACAGTGGGTTCCGAGTTTTCCCCAGCCTGAAAAACCCATTTCTACGGATCTTCATGCCCTGGGCCAGCCCGACTAAAGGAGGATCCTAGCTGCCGTGAAAACTGGCTTAAGCTGGGTCTCACGCTGCTCCCATAATGCAAGTTGCTCCACTTTGCACTGTTTCCTCAGCTCCTGACCCTCCAAGGAAGGAGAAGTCCAGACCCCAGCGTGTGGCCCTAAGCTGCCTAAATGTATCCCATCCCATGCATTCACTGCCCAAGTTCAAAGTGCGGGCTCTTGATGGGCCAAAAACAGAATCAAGTTGATCATCAGAAAGAAAGTATTCTCCAGCGTGTTCTTCTAACCAGTAGACTGAGATACTTTTAGCCAGACATTGAAGCCTTAGGAGAATGAGGCGGGCTGCCCAACGGAGGAAGCAATCAGTCACTGCCCAGGCCAGTCAAGGAGGAAGGTGCCGACAGGCATCTGAGACGGCATTTGCAGAGTGAGGAGCAAGAAAGCTGTTTGAGGACACGTTCCCAGAATGACATCCTCAGACACGGGAGAGGAAAGAAAGTTGCATGGCTCAAGAAGATTCAAGAAGTCATGGAAATCACGTGGCCAAGGAGTAACCAGACTGGCTTTGAGAGACTTGAAGGGACAACCAGCAAGGAGGCGAGAGGCGCCCGCCAGGAAGTGAACGGGAAGGAAGACAAGCGCAAGTTAAAGAGGTGGAGAACGCCTTGGGAAGGACAGAGGGGCAGGACAATGCCGCCTCAACAGCGGGGAACAGAGTCTGGAGAAGAGACGCTGGCAGGAAGCAGGGGGAGGCTAAGAGATAAGAAGGGGGACAGAGGCTTGCACCACAGGACCCTGCCGCTGCCTCCTGTCCTCTCCATTCACTAAGCCCCGACTTCCTGCCGAGCACCCTTCAAGCACCTTCCCTTCATTGCCGTTAAGCTGCCACAACAAGACAACGAGGCTGGTTCTCCTCTGTCCATGTCACAGAAGGAAACCGAAGCATAAAGAGGTCCAGTCACTTATCTGAGGTCACCAAGGCACAACATAGTGAAAGTAGGATCTCAGAATAGGCTGTTGTTAAATGCAACACATGCGCTGTTAGCCACTGTGTTGTTTCCTAGAGGTACTGTTAACAAAGCACCTACCGCAAACCTGGTGACTTGAAGGACAGAAACGTGTTTCCTCCCAGTCTGGAGGCTGGAATCTGAGATCCGGGTGCCAGCGGGGGTGGTTGCCCCTGAGGGATGTGGGCGACGGATCTGCTCCAGGCTGCTCTGCTCAGCTTGGAGACGCTGTCTTCTCACCGCTTCTCTCCGTGTCGTCTTTCCTCCATGTCTGTCTCAGCGTCCAGACTCCCTGTTCTAAGGACATCAGTCACACTGGGTTAGGCCCGCCCTACTGAGCTCATCTTAACGCCAGTTACATCCGCAGCAAGGCCACATCCTGAGGTCCTGGGGGTTAGGACTTCAACGTATGAATTTGGGGGCAGAGAACAATTTAACCCATAACAGCCAGTATCCTCTGCTGGCCCAGAGACAAGGTGGCACAGCAGGAAGAGCAGAGGGCTAGTTCCTGACCCCGAGTAAGTGCTATGCTCCGTTTTCTCATCTATAAAATGGGATCGTTCCTCCTGGCTCACGTGGTCACTGTAAGGAACAAATGAAGCCACGAGCGGCACAGACACTTTCCCCTCCCGCTCCTCCAACCGCAGATGCTCTGCTACAGAGGCAGCTGGGGCTGTAGCCCCACAAGCCCTTTGGCCCTGTTCTCACCTGGCACCTCCTTTGCAGGTGCAGCAGCTGCCAGGGAAGGCCCGGGTGACCCCACCAGTGGCAGGCCCCACACCCCCGCAGTCAACAAGAAACACCAAGTCTAAGTGCACGTTTTTGCCCGAAGCCACCACCGTGCCTCTGAGTGGACGCAGCTTCAGACCTGCTCCAAGCAGCGGCAGCTGGTGCTGGGGGCCAGTGCCCCGCCTGCACGGCAGCCTTCGGTGGAGGCTCAGGAACCGACCATGCTCCTCCAGCAAAAACAGCAACCACACACCTCATTTCTCTCCTGGGGAAATGAAGACCATCCACCAATATAAGAAAACACCTCACGATCCCATTACTAAGTATATTTTGGGCCAGGCTCGGGGGAAAGCTCCTTGCCAGAGGCCTTGGCCAGCCTGGCCACCCCAGTGCTCACAGGTTACATTCTCGGAGGAAGGCATCCCTGGCTCCGCTTTGGCCTTCCCCACGTAACCACAGGAGGTTCTGCATCTCTTGGGGCTTCGGGCGCCTTTGCAGCCACACTGTTGTGAGCTTCACTACTGTCACGCTGTCATCCTAGAGAACACAATGGCCCTGATGGCACAGGTGCAAGCCACAATCACAGCAGTTATCGACAAAGGGAACGTTTTGTACTGCATACTAGGCACACTACTTCTATTAGGTCATGTCAACCTGCGGGTATCATTTCCTTCTTAGGAGGCAGGAGCAGAATCGAGGAGGAGATCGCCCTCGCCCAAGAGGTACCAGACTGAGTTGTGACTTCCTTAAGTGGTGGTGAAAGCACGTTGGGGACAACATTGGGTTGGGTACGCCTCCCTGTGAACGACGTTGATGTTCCTCAAGCAAGCCAATGAATCCAGTCCGGGTGCAGTGGGTCTTTATTTGTAATGCCCTGGGGGGTACAGCAATCAGGAGCACTGCCAGGAAACCACTCCCAGTGCCAACCTGCGCCCACCACGACTGCCTGTAGGTTTGCCTTTTCCTTCAGATGGCTTCTGTAGAAGTGGGACACACCAGCAACCTCTTCTCACAAGCCGAGTTTCCCTTCTACAGCCCCAAGCAGCGAGCAGGGGCAAGAAATGATAGCTCAGACGCAGGACTCTGCAGGTTCTGCCACCCGGTCCCAGGACCCAGCTGGCCCGTGCGGCTGTGGGAGGTGGCCCTGGGCTCCTCGGCAGTCTCGGCACCCTCCACTGGGCCCACGGTTCAGTATTGCAATTATGTTGCATTGAAATTGCCATTTTTATTTACGACACAGACACTTTCCAACAGGCACATTCCCCCATGCACACGTGACCCTGAGCTCCACACCCTCACATGTAAGGTGACTTCGGAGCTGCTAACCAGCAAGTTCTTGAATCAGTTCATCAGGGGAAGAGGCAACAGACACATCCTCCTTTTGGTAAATTCTTGAGAGAAGTCTGACAGGTCCAGGAACCTCCCGTGGGGGCGAGACGTGCCAGGCCAGGGCAGCCTCTGCCATGGGGCCGGTGTCTGAATCCTCCAGCCACTGAAACGAAGCTCGACATTCCAAGGGGAGTCCCCTCCTCCCCGAGAGGTTGGTTGAGCCTGTGCCCAGAGACAGAGGCTGAGAACAAGGATGCCTCAGAGCAGGGCCTGTCCACGAGGGGGGTGGCCGTCAGCCTCAGGCAAGGCGGGAGCAGGGCCCAGCTGAGGTCCTGGGGGACCGGCCTGTGTGCCTGAGCTGCCAGCCCCCAGCCTCCCGCAGACTAATCCAGATGGAGAGATTAGCTCCCAGGCCTGCGAGACAGAGGGTGCGTCGGGTGGTGTGGAGGAAAGAGGCATGCAGGGAAGCTACTTGGCAGGGCTGGCCTGCGCCCTGCTCTTGCAGCTCACGCACAGACTATTGGGGACAAAGCCCCAGCCTCGTGCAGCTAGCCGGAGGAGCCTCCGGGACCTCACCCCTCAGAGAGGGCCACTGCTGCTGCCCCCAGGAGGACACCCTGCTGTGAACACTCAAGGCTCCCAGCGACCAGATCCCACCTGGAGTGTGTGCCAGCATCAGAGGGAAATGAATTTCCATCCACGGGCCGCCAGATCATAAATCATGACAGAGGGAATGAATTCTACCATCGCTTCCCCATATTAGGACAGACAAATAAAATAGTAAATTACATTTTATTTCATTTACAGAGACCTTGAGGCAAAAAGGTGGTGTTTGGAAAACAGCACACAGGTGAGGAGCACCAACGAGAGGCCCGTTATAAATGCGCTGGGCTGGTGTGCTCCGTCTGGGCACGTGTGCGTGGGGTCCCCAGGGCGGCCGTCTAGGAAGGAACAGGCTTGCAGAGAGCATCCCTGCTTCCCTCTGGGTAGAGACCATTCCCCTGGCACCGGCAGCCAGAGCCAAGCGTGCACCCTGCAAACGTAACAGGGCGAGGAAGCACAGTTCCCTTTACATCTCAGCAGCAGGTGCTCGGGAGCGGGGAGGAGAGGGATTTCGGGAGGTTTGGCGGTGTGACTGCCGGTGGGTGTGGCAGCAGGCTGCCCTCCCTCTCATTCTATAGGCTGCTTAATTAAAAATCACAAGTCCTGATGCTTGACAAATGAAGAGTCCATTCTGCTAATCCCGATGTTCTTCGCCTGATGCACAAATCTACGTGGTTCTGTGCGTTGCGTCCCGTCCCCCCACCCCCAGTGCTGATCACGATTCGTAATTCCCGAGAGCGGAAGTGGGTGGGCTGGGGTCCAGCCCTGGAGGAGGAAGGCAGCTCACCGCACCCAGGCAGGTCCTTGGGTACCAGGGTCAGCAGGGCTCCCAAAGGCCCGGGCTACAGCAGCTTGACGTAGTTCTGTGGAATCAGCCCCCTCTTGCCGTTCAGAGTCCCTTCTAGCCAGCCAGGTTCCCTCGAGGTTTGCACTGCAAAGGAAGAGAAACCACTTTTTACCAAGATGCCCCCAAGCACTTGCCTCCTGGGTGTTCGCCATACCACTGGGTCTCTTAACGGCTTAACCAGGGAGTGGCCAGTAGAGAATGGGCCCATTTCTGGAAGTTCGGTCACAAAGTCTGTACAGGGTTACTGATAGGCTCTGCTTCCCTGGTATGGCCACCAGGATCCTCACCCACCTTCCTGTAGCTGCCTCCTGACTAGCCTCTCCATTTCCTGTCTGTCCCTTCTGATCCACTGTGCAGAGTTGCTCAGCGAACTTCATAGAATACGGAGCTGATCACGTCGTTCCCCTGCCTAAAATCCCCCCAAGCTTCTTACTGGCCTGGTGCATGGGCATCTCTCCAGGAGCCCTCCACACCCCATGAGCATATCATCTGTGTCGACGGCAGCGAACCCCCCAGAGAAATCCTAACTGGGACTCCGTGCCTTGCATGAGAATGCCTTCCAAATGTCTCTCTCCCACTCCTTCACCAGGAAATTCTTCCTCTTTAGAGACCCGACTGGATGCCTCGTCCTAGGGAGTCCTCCTCGACCCTTCTCAGCACTTACAAGCCTCACAGGCACTGTCTGGGCACTGGTCTGACTCCCACTGGACACTGGACAGGGAGCTCCTAAAGGCAGGCCTAGGCCTTGCACATCTGGCACAGTGCCTGGCACACGGGGGGTGTCCATAAAGATCCACGACGGATGCTTAAGAGAATGACTGCAGGTTGGACAGCAAAGGGCGCAGGGTCCGAGCGCTCATCACCAGGTTTTGGAAACCCAGTACAGAAGCATTTAATAAGCCCCAGCTGTGGGCAGGCCCCAGCTCAGACCCCCAACCACAGTCAGGAGTAGGAGCACTAGCCACATGTGTAAAGGAAAGGGAGCTGTGGGCTAGCCCAGCGCAGCAACTCCAGAGCCGGCAACTTCTGATCACAACCACGAGAACTGTTTCATACCAATAACCAAGAACATGCCTACATATATGTAACACACAAAATTTCCATGAAACGACACTTACCCTATGATCAATGCCCTCTTTCTCTATTCTTCTCTAGTCTTTTTTGAATGCTGGCTGCAACTCAACAAACTGAGTTCATGGTCCACTCACATGTAGCAGCCCACAGTTTGGAAGACACTGAAGATCCAATTCTAATTGTCCTTCTCAACAAGGAAAGCGTTTGTTCTTCCCTACCTTCAGTGAAACGAGCATACGTTCTGGCTGTCTGCATTACCTTGGCCTTCTGTGACCGCCCTATGTTCAGCAAACTTCGGGCTTCGAGGCCTCTGTGCAGCTGTCCCTTTGGCCCTGGATGCTGTTCCCTGCCTTTATGCCTGGACAGTGCCAACTCATCCTTGAGATACCAGCTTCGGGGGCCCCTCCCTCTGGGACCCATCCCAACACTCCAGACCAGGTCAGGGCCCTCAGTGAAACATCCCAAACGCTCTGTGTGCATGAGAGAGACAGACAGAGACCGAGTAAGAGCACGAGAGAACACTTGAGTGCATGAGCCAGACTCCCTCCCTTCTAGCCTAGGCTCTAACATGAGAGCATTGAACATACAACATATTCCCCGGCACCTAGCACAGTGTGAGACATGATTATTTGTGTAACAAATGAATAAGGAAATGAATCAGAGATGTGCTCTCCGAGTGGTCTGGCAGCAAGTCACTTTCTTCATGCCCTCAGTGACCTCTACCCTGACACTGTTCCTCAGAGCAGGATTTTTAAAGGCTTCTCACTTCATCCAAGTGCCCAAGCTGGCAATGCCACCTGTGTGCAGCCACCACCAGGGAAATGGTCTGGATTCTACGCAAGAAGTGCCTTTAGAGTTGCAGTGACATGGGGGCCTGAGTGGAGAGGGGCCCGGGGCTGAAGTTAGAGGCCTGGAGGAGACTCCTGGCCAGCTGGGTGCGGCTGGGAAACGACTCCAGCCCTGAGCCTTGCTTGCCTCTCCACTTGCAAGGTGGGGTGACCAGCATTGAGCCTGCAGGACCCGCTGTGAGGAGTCAATAGAATAGTTTATGTAGAACTAACCTGTGTGCGCTCATGGTTTCTTCTCCTGTACTTGCACGAACACAGGCTGGGTATCAATAAAAGGCAGGCTGAAGAGAAGTGATTTCCCACAAAGCTGGGTGAAAGAAGGCTCGAATGGGGGAACCGAGGCCAGGCCGGGACCCCTATACATCCCATGTCCCCACCCACCACCTCCTCAGCCCTCACCTCCCTGGAAGGCAGGAGCCAGTAGGGAGAAAAATGCCACTGACTTAGGGAGGGGGTCGGAGACTCCTCCCAAGGGCTGGCGTGGGTGGGGCAGAGTTGAGGTGTCCACAGCACCAATTACTAGGCATCCCCAGGGACAGGGAAGGGGCTCAGAGGCTGCAGGTGAGGACTGAGAGGGTCTCCCTGCCTCTCTGAAGATCTGACCGCTCTTGGTAGCATCAAACCTCAAAATACCGATCCCAGGCTCCTCTCTGTACTTGGTTTATCAAACTGCTCCCTCCAATGGCAGTGTGATAGTTACTTTTACGTGTCAACTTGGCCAGGCCACAGGACCCAGAAATTTGGTCAAACGTCATTCTAGATGATTCTATGACGATTTGGTCAATTATTCTAGACGTTTAGATGTGATTAACAGTTAAATCAGTAGACTCTGAGTAAAGCAGATTAGCCTCCCCTACGGAGGTGGCCTCATCCCATCAGTTGATAGAATGAAGGCTGGCGCCCACCTTCCCCAAGAAGAGGGAATTCTGCCCACCTTCATGCCTGGACTGCAGTCTTCCCTGGTCCCCAGTCTGCCGACCTACCCTGCGGATTCTGGATTCGCCAGCCCCCACAATTGTGCGACCCAATTCCCTAAAATAAGCGTCTTTCTTTCTCTCTTTCACACACACACACACACACACACACACACACACACACACAGCACAGGCCCTGTTGGTTCCCTTTCTCTGGAAAGTGCTGACTAATACAGGCAGTTTCAGGAGTAGGACAGCATCTCATTTTGGGGAAGATTTTTACTGCACGAGACAGTGAATATAATGGGAATGAGATGGGTTTTAGAGTCCCCACGATCCCGGCTGGAACTCTGGCTTTTTAATGACCATGACCCTGGTCGATTTGCCTATCCTAGCCTCAGTGCTCTTCATTCCTCAAAGAGAGTAAACAATAGCTCATTAGAAGTTGCTGGAAATATTAAAATGAGACAATTTATGCCAAAGTGATACCAGGAACACACCACATTTCCATGCTGTGTCCAAGGTAGGCAAGGAAATGTATTATTTCGAAAGCAAAACCGAAGCTAAGTACCTCTTGCCCATCATTCATTGGACCTGTAAATCCCGAGCACAGGACCTGGGTGTGCCAGGATTTGCAGCCCCTCTCCAGGGCCGCCCCGTTAACACCCTGCACTCGAGTCCTCTACTGCGTCCTTCCGGGCTGTGCGCCACGCTCAGTGCTCTCTAGGGGTGAGAAAAACAAGGTATCTTCATTTCGTTGCTTCTTAAATAACTTTCCTACTTGAAAGTTGTATAGAATATGACTATATTGCTGCACCCAATATAAATTTAATGAACATGCACTCCAATAAATACAACCCTAAATAACCTGCTCCTGATAAACCAAAGCAGTTTAGATTTCATGGCTAAACTGGGAAAGGGCAAAAGAGATAGCAAAGGCCCCGGGACTCCCAAGCTTCCTGGCAGGTGTTTCCAGCACCCAGAAGGTGCTGATGGGAAGTCACTTGGATGGCTGGAGTGGTCCAAGTGGCCTGCTGTCTTAAAAGGCCCCAGAACTGCATGAGGGCTGAATCCAGGCACTCTGGTCTGCAGGGCCAGAATTCCATTTTTTTAGAACAGACTTTGCCTTTTCGAAACAATTCTGATCACAGCTAGTGTCATAGCTGAGCCTCTGTCCTATCAGTGGAGTCGGCTCAGACTCGGAGCACCCGGACACCTCTCAAAAGAGGAAGCCAGGGAGTCACATGAGACAAGGGAGGGCCAGGGCCAGGGACCTGGCATTGTAGCACCTCCCCTCACCCAGGAGAAAAGGGCTATTTTTATTCATGTTATTTTTAAGGAAACTTTCAGAAATTGGAATTATTTTGACAGGTTGTCACTTAGGTTTCTGGTAGCTGGATTCTGAATGCTCTGGGAGTCCCATTTCTTTACTTTTTTTTTTTTTTTTTTTTTTTTGAGACAGAGTCTCACTGTGTTGCCCAGGCTAGAGTGCCGTGGCATCATCCTAGCTCACAGCAACCTCAAACTCCTGGGCTCAAGCGATCCTCCTGCCTCAGCCTCCCAAGTAGCTGGGACTACAGGCATGCGCCACCATGCCCGGCTAATTTTTTTCTATATATTTTTAGTTGTCCGATTAATTTCTTTCTAATTTTTTAGTAGAGACGGGGTCTCGCTCTTGCTCAGGCTGGTCTCAAACTCCTGAGCTCAAACAATCCGCCCGCCTCGGCCTCCCAGAGAGCTAGGATTACAGGCGTGAGCCACCGCGCCCGGCCTGGGAGTCCCATTTCTAGCTGTAGGGCCTCAGGCTCCCACAACACATCAGCCCAGCAGCTGGCCAAGAGCTGACACCCCATGTCCTCAAGCCCTTCATGGGAAACAGCTCACTTGTGAAAACTTGAGGAGTATCTGTTCATTCGTTCATTCATTCATTCATTCCCTCCCTAATATGCCATCTCAGGGCAGAGGGTGCTGCTATCCTGGAGGCACCAATCATGTGGCAGGACCTCCAGAGTGGCCTCCTCCCCAGGGAATTCCTGGGAGCATGGCAGGGATCTGCTCGTCCATTTCTCTGGGCGGGAGACATGGCAGCTTCAGTGTCATTCCCTGTGCCCTTCCCCGTGAGCTGTACTCTGCCTGCAGGTCTCGGTCAAGGAGCCCGACTCTCCTCCAGCCACGCAGCCCTTGCCAGCCTCGTGCTGGGAGGAGACCACGCCTGGCGCAGGACTGGTGTGGGGCAGGGACCCTGACT